CATGAGATTGGATTTATTTGTATATATATATATTTGTATTCCATATGAAATAATCAATTTTTATTTAAAAAAACAGAATTTTGCAACAGAATGATGGTTGACATTGTACTTTTTTGGCGGCATTCTACTGCAAAGAAACAGAGATTTTGCAACAGAATGATGACATTTGTATATGTTTTTGGCGGCATTCTATGTGGGCTGCACAAAGTACATAAAACCTCGCGTATACCAAGTATTTTGAAAATATGGGGTTCAAATGTTTGACATCCTGCGAACTGGACTTTTTGGCCGGAGGCATTCTATGTGTGGCACTAAATCTCACATTACCCTGTAAATTCTCACAAAATTTACCTACGAACTATTCATTAAAAAATAGTCCTGCTCGCGTAGCATAGTTGAAAATTGCATTTTACAAGTTTTTTTTAAGATTTTGCTCCCGTGGTGGCATTCTTTAGGAGGGCGCGAGCTAGAGGACCCCGGCATTCTAAGTTTCAGTCCGTCGCTATACACTATAAAAATTTACACTACACTACACTACAGCTACAACTACACTACTTTACAGTACATTAAACTAGGCTACACTACACTATACCACACTAGAGTAAACACCACAACACAACAGGACACAACACTACACTACACTAATTACACCACAACTACAACTGCAACTACACTATACTAACGGTGGGCGGAGGAAATCCTGCACCACCTCTATAACCTTACATTTGCGAATTTGCGAATGCATAACTTGTACCCCCGCACCCCCAAGCTCAATGTTGAATGACATTTTAACAGGTGGTGCAGGATTTCCGTCACTCGCGCAAGTCCATTTTGATCACTGTGTCTGCAAACAATATTAAATTAGGAGCGCGAGGTTTCAAGTGTAGGCCTTTGAAAGTGGTGCAGGATTTCCTCCATCAACAGTAATTACATTATAGTAAACAGCTGGCACATAGAATATTAAAAATTTTAACGTGCCACTAAGAATATGGAAAATACATAGCAAAACCTTTTCCTGGAATGTCATCCACATAGAATATTTATCCACATAGAATATGGGTGTGTATATATATTATATAGGGGTATATATATATTTACATTATCCAAATCTCATTCAAATGGTCTCCATAAGATAGCACCAATGGCATAAACGCATAAATATACGAACCGAAGCCGATACGTATTAATTATATACGTTGCTGAGTTCATCATTTGACCATGTAAGCTCTCTTCCCAGAAAATTAGATATTTCCGTAGTACCAAAACAACAGATTACAATGGATTTGTTGACATTTGTGATGCACTGAGAATATGCTGGGAACATAAGGAACATACATCAAACTCGTTCAAACTGTTCCTCACTTAATAGTTCCAATGACATAATTGCATAAATATACGAACCGAAGCCGGTACGTATTAATTATATACGTTGCTGAGTTCATTATTTGACCATGTAAGCTCTCTTCCCAGGGAATTAGATATTTCCGTATTACCAAAACAACAGATTACAATGGATTTGTTGACATTTGTGATGCACTGAGAATATGCTGGGAACATAAGGAACATACATCAAACTCATTCAAACGGTTCCTCACTTAACAGCTCCAATGACATAAACGCATAAATATACGAACCGAAGCCGATACGTATTATTATATACGTTGCTGAGATCATCATTTGACCATGTAAGCTCTCTTCCCAGGGAATTAGATATTTCCGTATTACCAAAACAACAGATTACAATGGATTTGTTGACATTTGTGATGCACTTAGAATATGCTGGGAATTTAAGGAACATACATCAAACTCGTTCAAATGGTCTCCATAAGATAGCACCAATGGCATAAACGCATAAATATACGAACCGAAGCCGATACGTATTAATTATATACGTTGCTGAGATCATCATTTGACCATGTAAGCTCTCTTCCCAGGGAATTAGATATTTCCGTAGTACCAAAACAACAGATTACAATGGAATTGTTGACATTTGTGATGCACTTAGAATATGATGGGAACATAAGGGGCACACATCAAACTCATTCAAATGGTCTCCATAAGATAGCACCAATGGCATAAACGCATAAATATACGAACCAAAGCCGGTACGTATTAATTATGTTGCTGAGTTCATCGTTAGACCATGTAAGCTCTCCTCCCAGAGAATTATATATTTCTGTATTACCAAAACAACAGATTACAATGGATTTGTTGACATTTGTGATGCACTTAGAATATGCTGGGAATTAAAGGAACATACATCAAACTCATTCAAACTGTTCCTCACTTAATAGTTCCAATGGCATAAACGCATAAATATACGAACCGAAGCCGATACGTATTAATTATATACGTTGCTGAGATCATCATTTGACCATGTAAGCTCTCTTCCCAGGGAATTAGATATTTCCGTCGTACCAAAACAACAGATTACAATGGATTTGTTGACATTTGTGATGCACTTAGAATATGATGGGAACATAAGGAACATACATCAAACTCATTCAAATGGTCTCCATAAGATAGCACCAATGGCATAAACGCATAAATATACGAACCGAAGCCGATACGCATTAATTATATACGTTGCTGAGTTCATTATTTGACCATATAAGCTCTCTTCCCAGGGAATTAGATACTTCCGTATTACCAAAACAACAGATTACAATGGATTTGTTGACATTTGTGATGCACTGAGAATATGCTGGGAATTTAAGCAACATAGATCAAACTCATTCAAACTGTTCCTCACTTAATAGTTCCAATGGCATAAAAGGCATAAATATACGAACCGAAGCCGATACGCATTAATTATATACGTTGCTGAGATCATCATTTGACCATGTAAGCTCTCTTCCCAGAGAATTAGATATTTCCGTATTACCAAAACAACAGATTACAATGGATTTGTTGACATTTGTGATGCACTTAGAATATGCTGGGAATTAAAGGAACATACATCAAACTCATTCAAACGGTTCCTCACTTAATAGTTCCAATTACACAAACGCATAAATATAAGAACCGAAGCCGATACACATTAATTATTGTTGTTGAGTTCATCGTTAGACCATTTTAGCTCCTCCCAGAGAATTAGATACTTCCGTATTACCAAAACAACAGATTACAATGGATTTGTTGACATTTGTGATGCACTGAGAATATGCTGGGAATTTAAGCAACATAGATCAAACTCATTCAAACTGTTCCTCACTTAATAGTTCCAATGGCATAAAAGGCATAAATATACGAACCGAAGCCGATACGTATTATTATATACGTTGCTGAGATCATCATTTGACCATGTAAGCTCTCTTCCCAGGGAATTAGATATTTCCGTAGTACCAAAACAACAGATTACAATGGATTTGTTGACATTTGTGATGCACTTAGAATATGCTGGGAATTTAAGGAACATACATCAAACTCGTTCAAACTGTTCCTCACTTAATAGTTCCAATGACATAATTGCATAAATATACGAACCGAAGCCGGTACGTATTAAATATGTTGTTGAGTTCATCGTTTGACCATGTAAGCTCTCTTCCCAGGGAATTAGATATTTCCGTATTACCAAAACAACAGATTACAATGGATTTGTTGACATTTGTGATGCACTGAGAATATGCTGGGAACATAAGGAACATACATCAAACTCATTCAAATGGTCTCCATAAGATAGCACCAATGGCATAAACGCATAAATATACGAACCGAAGCCGATACGCATTAATTATATACGTTGCTGAGATCATCATTTGACCATGTAAGCTCTCTTCCCAGGGAATTAGATATTTCCGTAGTACCAAAACAGCAGATTACAATGGATTTGTTGACATTTGTGATGCACTTAGAATGTGATGGGAACATAAGGAACATACATCAAACTCATTCGAATGGTCTCCATAAGATAGCACCAATGGCATAAACGCATAAATATACGAACCAAAGCCGATACGTATTAAATATGTTGTTGAGTTCATCGTTTGACCATGTAAGCTCTCCTCCCAGAGAATTAGATTTTTCTGTGTTACCAAAACAACAGATTACAATGGATTTGTTGACATTTGTGATGCACTTAGAATATGCTGGGAACATAAGGAACATACATCAAATTCATTCAAACTGTTCCTCACTTAATAGTTCCAATGACATAAACGCATAATATCAGAACCGAAGCCGATACGCATTAATTATATACGTTGCTGAGTTCATCATTTGACCATGTAAGCTCTCTTCCCAGGGAATTAGATATTTCCGTAAACAGCGCGGACATCGCCATGCAACATGATGGTTTGATTCATGATCAACTCAGCACGTCTTTACAAGGTTTATATTCTATGTGCATCGTCTGTGGATATGCACTTAGAATATTATTTTCACCCAGGAAAAATCATGTAACGATTAGACGTTATCGAAAATAATAATAAATAATATTCTAAGTGCTAGCCGGTTACTATATATACAACTACAACTCCGCTACACTAGACTACAACAACTAGAACTGCGCTACACCACACTACATCCAGGAGTTGTGAGCAAGGTGACCACTGCAACCATTGCAACCACTCCAAAAATCACAACTCCAGCCACCTTGCGGTCCATCAGTGGATTCGCTCTGCCATCCGTGATTCACAACAACCAACTTCTCCTATTATAGGATTCCTGTTTTTGAAACTTCTGCCACCGCCTTGTGGGGTACTACTGGTATAGATGCCGTGTGAAGCCAAGATTGCGCATGGCGAGGTAACCCAACTCTGAATGCAAGAGTTACTCGAGTTCAAAATGAACATAGGAAAGCACCCGACGGAAAGACAGACAGACAGAGAGAGAGAGAGAGAAAAAACAAAAACAAAAAACAACACAAAAAAGTGAGCAAGAGACAGCTGACAGGCGCTCTACACCAAGTATCACCAGACATGCCTTGCGCAGGATCCACCTCTAAAGGACACCGAACACCCACCATTTTCTAAATGGAATATTGATGGATGAGCATAGCCATGTGGAAGCCCGTATGCGTCACGACGCTGCTCCTTAAACCAGTGGCGCAGGAGCTGCCAGTGACAGAGAACGGAATCAATTGGAAAGCTTTGATTCTGAGCCTTCCAACGCCCGAGAACACCGAGGCAGGAGCAGAAATAGAACGCAAAAGACATGGATAGACTATTTATGACATTTTGTGACTATGATCGACTAGAACCGAGCCGTGCACAACACTTGTTCTTTCAGTTGCTGGAGCCAACCGGAGTCAAACGGAGTCAAATGCAAATCCCTTACGGATCTTTACGAATCTTCATTTTCACATATCTTCACCTTTTCACATACGTCACCATGGTTCAAGGGTTCAATTTCAGACTATATAGGTCATGGGGCCGGCGTGGCTGACACATTTTTTTTGCAAAAATAGACAGAGCACGTCAAAGCGGTTCATGGTCTATTAGTTCCACAAATCTCCATAGATTTCCAAAGTTTTCAGTTCGATGCTTGGCTATGCTTGACTACCTTCGGGTTTCAGGTTTCGGGTTTTTGTGTCCGGACTCAAGTCTGAGAAACGGTTCCGGGCTTCGGGTTTCGGGTTTCGGCTTGCGCGTCCGGAGTCAAGTCTACATGCGTCGGATTTCGGGTTTCAGGTTGCGCGTCCGAAGTCAAGTCTGAGAGTCGGTTTCGGGTTTCGGGTTTCGAGCGTCGAAACCAGTTCTCCGGACCTCTCTCCGGATTCTGTCTCCAATGGCCGGACAATCCTTGAATAATTGGAATATCCTTCACAATGCCCAAGGCTGTTCAATGCTGTTCAGCTGTTGTCAAACATTTGATGCTGATCTCAATGCTGCAGGTTTTGGGTTGTGGCATACGTCGAGTTCTTTTCAAGCGTGCGGACTGCATCTACGATGGCATCTACCGCTTTCATGTGGAAAGGCGGTCCCCAACACAGAGTCAAATTAAGTTTTCCTACAGTGACTTTCATCAAGTGGCATCAGCTTGTGCAAAGGTGTTTGGGATGCACAGGTGCTGACTCCTAGGATATGGGTACGACTGCAGTCTTGAGTACATGCCACACAGGCGCGACTTGACACAAGCGATGTTCCAATTTCGGGATGCGTATGACGACCCATATCACCACTACAAGGACTGGCAGATCCATCATGCCTCGTTACAACCTTTTGCGCTCAGGGAATGCTCATGCATACTTGGGGCGTAGCAGTGCCTGTAATTATTGACAGAGCTAGGACATGGGCCTAACATGGCTACTTTTGTGCTGAATTGTTGTTGGAAGGACAAGTCGTTCAAAGACGACGTGGACACTGCTTTGCGGGCTGCAATTCTCCCGCACTTAGTCCAATTCAAGGAGCTCCATTGCAAAGACAGCCCCATCCTCAGCACTGAAGCATACCGAAGCAACGCATGCATTCTCATCAAGTATGTACATCTTTTGTGGCAACCATGGGCCCAAATAGAATCATAGACTGGTTCAGTGCGTGGCACTGAGGCCAGATGGAGTTGGTCAGTCACATCTCTGGGACAGCTTTGCCATGGGAGAAGGCTGTGGCAAGAAGCTCAGACATGGAGACAGGACTAAAATTCAGGAATCTTTAGTCTGGAACTACCACAAGGCGGCACGGGACAATTATGCATTGATGAGTTTTACTTTATGATGTGTGTAAAGCTCTATGACTATAGTGCGGCATGCATTCATGCAGGATGACAGCTCATCGTTTCATCACTACTCACTACTTGCTCCCCCTCTCATTTTCAATGTTCACACATGTGATACCGTATCCATTGAACATATTTGAAAACAATGTGGAAACCATGTGTGCGTATATGTATGTATATATATGTGGTCCCGTGTCCCGTGTTCCCACCCCCCCCCCATGTGATGGGGCGGGTATGATGCCCCTGTGGTGGTGTATATACATATATACATACATACATACATACCTACCTACCTACCTACCTACATACCTACATACCTACATACCTACGTACCTACGTACCTACGTACACACGTACGTACATACATACATGCATGCATGCATGCATGCATACATACATACATACATGCGTACACACATACACACATACACACATACACACACAGACATACATACATACCTACCTGCCTACCTACATACCTACATACCTACATACCTACATACCTACGTACCCACGTACCCACGTACCTACGTACATACATACATACATACCTACCTACATACATACATACATACATGCATACATACATACCAACAAACCAACATACCAACATACCAACATACCAACATACCACGACCACAGGCCACAGGGAGGGGGACCAGAAGAACCATACCACCACCACAGGCCACGGGGGGGGGGGGGACCAGAAGAACCAGACGATACTGTCCACCCATACCCATTTGTGGGGGGGGAAGGGGGGTGGCCAACGCTGCACCATATATATATATTACAGTATATAACTAGTCTTCACGTTACCCTGGAAAGGTTCTTTGATCCTTGCAAGTGGATATTTGAACTTGTGGAATTGGCTTGGGGGCCGAATAGAGACAGTGCCCACAGCGCTGATTCGCATAAAAATTCGATGTATATAATTTATAACTATATAACTTTACCTCATGGGTATCCATGAAATTCTTTGATGGTGATTCAAAGTCATGCGGACGGACAAGATACGCCAAATCTTGCAGCAGTGTGCAACGATGCCGGCAAGAGAAAACGCTTCAGGTCCAGCATTTTCCTGTCACCTTCAGAGTTCTTTTGGATTCCTTTCTCAACGAGAATCAGATCGAGCTGCTCGCACGATGGTTTGGCGAAGCTTTCTCATAGTTACTAGTTACAATATAGTGTCGTTTATAGCGTGTTGTAATTTAATTGATGTTTTATGTGTTATAGTTATATACTGATATATTATAATATATATATATATATATGTATATCTATGATTATCTCTCATGTATTCTCATGTCATGTTTGCATGGTTTGTGGCTTTGTGGCTTTGTGTTATATAAATATAGACCCTCCAGTCCAGTCAAACATTTAATCTTGTCATTTGGCGCAGGTTGGAAAACATCAAGCTGGAATACTGCAACTTGTCTTTCCGAAGAGTTTTGGCACAGCAGCCATCAAATTTGACGCAGGATGCATTTTTAATCAACTTTCAACTCCAAGACTGATGCTGTAGTCAGTGGGACGGAAAGCAATGGCGAGTCCAACTTGTACATATATATATATATGTGTGTATATACATATAGTCGCATATAGCAGCTATTTGCAGATATTGCTGTTTGATGGTGCTCTTGTTCGAATGTCCGCGATAAAGGAGGATGGAATGAGAGTTCGGGTGCCTGAGGTGAAGAACACGGATACAAGATAAAGGATGCAGAGCTCAAGGACAAATGGCGGCTTTACCATCGGAGTCATGGGCAATACCGCCGCTTTGCCTAGATAAATGTCAACATTGTCATTATGGGACCAATGGAACACGGTAAGAAATGTGAGACCCTGAATGGCGCATGACCAACCAGGGCCGATGAAGTCACTTCCGTGCTTGGTGTGGATGGTTGTACGATTGTTTGCGATTGTAAAATTCTTTGACGGGCCTTTCTGCGTGTGTCCGAAGGTGCTTTCACATTGAATACTTTAGGCAAGTCTGCAGAAACCAGCGTACTCCAACAATTTCCAACAAACTCTGAACCAGCAGATAGCATGTTGCAACAATTTGTTGGCTTGTCAATGTGATTTCAGATTTGAATATCGTTGAACATCTGTTAAATTCGTTTAACTAACCATATTAAAATATATGGAAACAAACCATGAAATACTTGGTTTGTTTCTGCATGTGACATCCTGTGACCTTCGAGGCATCATCTCGACTGATGAAGCAATGGAGCAAGACCACCTGTAAGTTCGAGGAGCTATGGATGGGGATGGATGGCGGCAAACCTGTGGTTCCAAACGTGCTAGCGATTCGTGCGGACTTATGATTGATTTGATTGCTTGCACGTTTGGAAAGCAACACACGCCGTATTTTGAAGATTTTATGTTTGTCAACGCTGTCGTACACCTCCTTTTTCTATTTCCCAGCCATAGTGGAGTTTCCAAAACATCATGAAGCCGATTCGAAAGCGGGTTCTCTGCGACGTCCGTTATGTGGCGCATTGTGGCTTTCAAAGATTATAAAGTTTGTGTGTCGCCGCAGGAGCTTCATGAAGGTGATCACGGGGCAATGCAACATGATGCAAGATGCAACGCTTTCATGTCCCGTGCCCGTGCGGTCGCTAAAGTGACCTGAGGGCATATAGAGTTTCACTTCCAGTGAAATCGACCTGCAAGGAAGCCTTTGGTTTTCACAACATCCTGCAACTGCGGAACCGATTTCATAAAAACGCAATCCAGGCCCGCACGACTTGTGACAACATGTCCCAATTTTAGATGCTGTCAGGCAATGTTTTGACAGCGACGCAGGTTGCAAACCAATGGATGGTGCTAATCCAGTACCTGCTGTTGAAAGACCGGGGTTAGCAGCCTGGGCATAAAAAGGGAATGAAAAACCGCTCCCCATGATCCCCCATGCCTGGGCTCAGTAAAGAAGTCTCGGCACTCGTTGGCCAAAATTCTCACGATGTCTCTCAACTTTGTATTTGCTTCTGCTGTCCCTCTCAGACTGAAAATCAAATGATCTTTGAAGGGGGCGCGTGTCCCGAGATTGCTGCAAGGTGGCACGTGTTCTGAAGGAAGCAATTGAAGACGGAAAGTCCAAAGCAGACTTGGAGGCCCACAGACTCCAGTACAGATCCCACAGCGCTGCTGGAATTCTTGTTTCACAATCACAACGATAATGGTGTTGTTGTGAAGACGGCGGCAGTGAATTGGAGCTTCTAAACTCAATCAACTTATATAAATATAATTATATATATAATTATATATATATATGCAATTATATATATATATATCGATATATAAGATATGATAAGATCGATTCTTTTTGGCGGTGAGATCTTTGTTGGTTTCTTGGCCTTGGGACGGTATATAGTCTAAAACCCACCACAGTACCCAGAGCCACAAAATCGGCCATCGGCCGCAACTGAAGGTCATGGTGGAGTCATGGCATCAGGACAGAACACAGTGATAGACCGACATGCACCAACTACATACCAACTACAAACTGCAAATCTAAGGACAACTCACAATTTGGGTGCCATGAGCAGGGGTACCAATTTGGGATGTTCTGGCAGTTCTGGCATTTTATGTGTCACATCATGTCACATGCAGCGAAGATTCAGCCAAGCTCTGCTCCGGGAAGGACCCAATCGTTCTTCTTCTCAGCTGCACTCCTCGACTGGACTGCTTCTCGGCGGCACCCAGAACCGCTAAAATTTAATTTATTGACAGGGTGAGGGTACAAGAACAATGTGACCGAATCGAATGTGTATTGTATCACATGTATTTTATATGTATATATATATATATATATATATGTTTTTTTGAAAATATATCATTAATAGATTTTTATCTATATATATATATGTATAATATATATATATATTAAAAAAATCTATGCATAAGCACATCAATATAATAGTTTATATTATCAAATTGGTATGTAATAATACCAGGATGTCCAAACGGGTGTCCAATAAGCACCCCTTAGCACGGGTGTCCATTAGGCACCCATTAATTTTTGTGGTCCTGAACGTCCTGAACTAACAGATAGCGAGGTATTCATGGTAGTATGATGTAGTATGTAGGCATTTGGCACGAGCTTTAGTTTTTGCCACACTGTCAGCAATGCTGACATGAATTATTGGTACTGCATGCCCCAACATCCCAGTTGTCATTTCCCTTCCCCTCAATTTATTGAACTTTCATTTTCCACATGTTGACTGGGCTGTGCCCTATTTCTCATTTTTGTTACATTTTCAACTTCATGTCACAATTTATTGAAGCAACTCCCTATTGAAGCCATGGATTTGAAGCAACCAGAATCCCAAGATTCTCAAGAACCACTTTCTCCTGCTGAATTATCACGACCTACTTCGACTCCAGCATCTTCTACCACTGAGACACTTGAAGAACTTGAACTCATCAAGCAACATCGAGCTTCTACAATGAAACCCAGAATGGACCAAGGATGGGACGAGTTCCTTTCAGTCAGCACTAGCAGCTAAGGATGTTGAGCTCTCAGATTTGGATTTTGGACTACAACAGGAACTACGAGCTTCACCTCAGGCCAGAGCAGATTCTCTTGCCTCCGATATCACCGCACCAGATGCTCACCACTATGATCCTGATAAATGAAAACTCCAGAAGATTGACCTCACAAAGAGGAGGCCATTTACAGACCTTCAGTAGGAACTCCAACACTTGAGATTCAATAGGCCCAAATCAAGGATGCAATGCTACAGTACCACCAAACCACCTTCTTGCCCAACAATCGATTCATGCTTGAAGCTTGCCAACAATTTACTCAAACACCATCCTCAAGCAGTACTACACCCAGATTCAGATTGATACAATGGACTACAGCATCAAGACCATTGAGGCCAAGATGGGCAACAAAGCTCTTCTACTTCGGGGTCTACCAGCCACTGGATTCACCAAGCACAACCTCGACTGGAACCTCCAATACTTTTGCCACCTTATCAACGAGAGACTCCGTACTGACCACCTCTATGCATGCCAATGGTACTCAGACAACATCGACAAATTCATCAGGTGCAACCAGAAGACTATCCTCGACAACCGGCAGATCTCCTTCAAGGACAATTCAGATATTCATCCTGCAGGGGTGCCATGCATCCCATGGTATATCTTAGTTGCATCATCAGCATCATTGCCATCGACTCCATTGATGAGCAATTCCTTCAACAACACCCCAACAGCATTGATGATGGCTTTGTTGAAGCACTGCTTGCTCCCCTACTACCCCGACAGAGAACTCTGAACTTCATTGTGGAAGGGCTCACCAGCAACGATCTGAAGAACTTGAGCGCAGTTTGCAATTGTTTCACTGATGTAGCCCACTGGCAATTTGCTCTTTTCCCAGGCGCTCTAGGGATAAGTCACTGCTTCTGATTCCTCATGTTTGACTCAACTTGATTTGGACAGAAATTTCCAAAGGGATCCAAAGTGACCCTCAGCAAGTTCAATGGGCTACTACTAGGCGCTGGAATGACAACGTAAATTCGATGCAGACCCTTTTGTACGTATTAGCTCAGTCAGGGGAACACCTCCTTTTTTGGTAAACTTCTTGGATCATGTTTATGCTTCAAAATAGGGACCTCAATTCTTCCTGGGTAGTTGATGTCATCTTACTTTACCCCCTTAACTGCTGGTTACTGATGATTGTTTGGGGGAATGTTCTGCGTTTTCTGCAATTACCTCTTTTTTTCCATGCTTTTCATGTTTTGCTTCCCCCCCTTCAATTTCAAATTCCCTCTCCTTCATTTATCATCCCATCCAGGACATACATCCAATGGACTTCCAGTCCACTTGCCAATTTTTATCAAAGCAATTCCAGGACAACCCTTCCTATTTATTGAAGCATTTCCAGTAGAAAAAAATTCAGGACTTCCAGTCGTTACGTTCACGCGGTGCAGCCATGAAAAGCCAACGTTACGTGACATAATCATAACCTGAGAGCCTGAACATGCACAAAAAAAAGAGCGCTGACAGTTTGAATCCCAGATATGTGTTGCCACTGTACCACATATGTTTCCAGGTGGACGGTCCGATGACCACTTTTTGTTGCCACGAAGCAAAAGCAAACAACTCCACCCTTCACAAGCCCCAGGGCACAAAGCCCCAAAGTTGGAATTTAAACCAACTTGAACACCCGACCATTTTATTGAGGCAAATCATATTGAATTCAGCAAAGGACCTCAGGTCCAACAGTCATCTGCAATTAATATTGAAATGGCGAACAGACTTTGCCTTCCAGGCACAAAAGTATGCTCCCTGTTCACAATGCCGATTCCGGTCTATTATAATAAATACATGCAAATCTATAATGGAAACATCCATCCAAACACGTGTTCCTCATGTCAATGTTATTTAGGCCATTAGGCCATCGGGGTTTCACAAACTGTCCAAAGAAGTTTCGTTCTCACGTTCACATATCATCGGCTAGGTAGGTCTGGGATAGGTGTAGGACTCTTACGTTGCATGTTCACACTTTGATTTCTTTATTTACTTTATTCATTTGATCTGACAGATTCACACCTGGAGTGATCACCAAGGATGCCAGTCCGATCGTTGGCCATTTTGGCGCGAAGAACGTGATCGGCTCCAGGCATCATCTCTCGAAAAGGAGGAGTGATCAATCGAGGGCCTGGGAACTCGTTCACTTAAATAGCTCTAGATCCCCCTGCTTACAAGAAGATTTTTTTGTATAGGGGGCTTCTGGTGTTGCAAAGGTTCCAACATAATGGGGATTTCAATTTGAC